TTAGGAGTATTTTTATGTCGTAAAAGAACGACAAAAAACTGTGATAAAATGCGATGATTTATCAGTTGTGTAGTGTACACTTTACAGTATAATATTGATATTTTTACGAACTTCGGTCAACTTACGAAAGTTAGCTTAGCATGTGGATTTAAGACTAACGATATAGGACAACCTTCATAAATGTAAAATAAATATGTAAGGATGATATAAACGCACATAAAGAAATTTTAATCAACGCTTTTAATAAAACTGAAAGTACCACGTTACTCGTATTATCATCCTCTACTGTTGCCATCTGTTGGTGTGCTTGAAAAGTGACAAATCCATAGTAGGTTAGACTAGGTAGAAATTAAATTCACGCGCTTATTTATACTTGAGGAGGGTAATACTTGTATTTAGTGTAAATACAGCGTGTTTAGAAATTGGTATAACATCAAGTGTGTTGTCATTGTAAATGGCTAGCGGTGTTAATTATACACACGTTTAAGAAAATCTGCTCACTAAACCACTGAGGAAGGTGAAAAAAAAATTAGCTTGCTACCAATATAAACAAAAAAAAAAAAAATAGTTTTTGCGACTGAGAAAAATGGTTAGAATAGCTGTCACACTTAACCATACAGCAACTATCTTGGCCGGTAAGTATTTCATATGTTCAGATAAAAGGAAAGTCTAAATTAGCATGCTGTGTTTTGAACATGCAAAAGACTTCATTACTGTGTGGTTTATTAAATAATTTTTAATAAGCCTTACTCGCATTTCGTGGCTTGAAGAAATTATGTAACTGTATACGTCATAACTTGGAAAAGTTACTTCTCAGAAGGACGCCATATTGGTTAGATCGTTATCATTGTGCGCTTTTTAAATGCGATCATGAATGCTATTAGTGAGTATAATGTAGTAACGATATTAAAATGATCGATGTGGCCCAACTAGTGTTGTAAAATGGCCGTTATTCGGTTATACATACAGTAAATTCAGGAATAGTTTCTCGCACCTCACTCTCAGATCTGACCGGCCTCTATGCCTACTGACGTATTATCAGTATCAGACCTCTAATTGACATATCGTAAACATTATCGTAGTATAAATAATTCATTTTTTTTTATCAAACTCGAGAAGATAACACGAATACAGGAAATATTGAAGTTGGAGATCTGAAAAACAGAAATACTGGAAATATAGGTAATTATTGGGAGGTTAAGTTTAACGAAGCTCACCTAAAAAATATTTTTTTCTTTTTGTTGTTGTTGTTGTTGTATAGTACTAGTAGGTAAACTATCTACATTTTTGCATTCACAACATCCTGGATCTTTGTTGTTTTTCTTTGGAGGGGGGGGGAGGGAAATATTGAGATCATTGTTACACTTGATCATTTCTAAATACTTGGATAATTTCATGCTTTAGTATTTTTTCTCACTTATATATTTCTGTGTATGTTGGTAGCTGAATGTTTAATATTTTTTAATTATGTCGGTAGCAGGAGAGGTAATGTTTCTAAATCAGAGGAAAAACTGCAAGATTATTATTTGGTCAATAAAGTTATTGTGAAAGGATAAATCAAAAGATCACTATTCAATATATGGGATTAAAAGAGACTAATTCCTAGAATTAGGTATAGATATTTGTAGAATTAATATTCTGTGTGTATAGATAACTGAAGGATTGTAGTTGAAAATGCAGAGGTAGCTGCGGGATTCCAGATTCTGATCTTTGGTTAATTTTTTTTGGATGTAAGAGTAATTTGTTGACCATTGTCCTGGATGCACAGAAAAATGCAGGATCTCTTGTAAATGGTAGTTCTTGGTACAAGGTTAACTGAATATAAGTATTATCCTAAACATAGGAATAACTTCACACGATTACTGATTTAGGAATGGGAACATTAGAAGATTCGGGGTTAATGTAAGATTATATTACTATACATAGGAGGATACTAAAAGGCATTATTGCAGAAATACTTTCTGATGAAGAACCTTGGAGTAAGAACTTTTTAGATGAAGTTGCTCTGTGAATCAATTGTTCTCATTCACAATTCTTTTTAGTCACTTAAATGGTTGCTCTTCTATGTTTTTGACAGCTGTTTTCAGTCACTTATGGGCAAGTGGTGTTCTATGTTTTTGGCAGCTGTTTTCAGTCACTTATGGGCAAGTGGTGTTCTATGTTTTTGGCAGCTGTTTTCAGTCACTTATGGGCAAGTGGTGTTACATGTTTTTGGCAGCTGTTTTCAGTCACTTATCAGCCCGGCATAGCCAGGTGGTTAGGGCACTCGACTTGCAATCTGCGGGTCGCGGGTCGAATCCCCGTCCCACCAAACATGCTCGCCCTTTCAGCCGTGGGGGTGTTATTTGACGGTCAATCCTACTATTCGTTGTTAAAAGAGTAGCTCAAGAGTTGGTGGTGGGTGATGATGACTAGCTGCCTTCCCTCTTGTCTTACACTGCTAAATTAGGGATGGCTAGTGCAGATAGCCCTCTGTAGTTTTGCGTGAAATTCAAAACAAACAAATAAACAGTCACTTATGGGCATGTGATGTTACATGTTTTGGCAGCTGTTTTCAGTCACTTATGGGCATGTGATGTTACATGTTTTGGCAGCTGTTTTCAGTCACTTATGGGCAAGTGGTGTTACATGTTTTGGCAGCTGTTTTCGGTCACTTATGGGCATGTGATGTTACATGTTTTGGCAGCTGTTTCAATCACTTATGGGCAAGTGGTGTTACATGTTTTGGCAGCTGTTTTCAGTCACTTATGGGCAAGTGGTGTTCTATGTTTTTGGAAGCTGTTTTCAGTCACTTATGGGCATGTGATGTTACATGTTTTGGCAGCTGTTTTCGGTCACTTATGGGCATGTGGATGTTACATGTTTTGGCTGCTGTTTTTAGTCACTTATGGGCAAGTGGTGTTACATGTTTTGGCTGCTGTTTTCAGTCACTTATGGACAAGTGGTGTTACATGTTTTGGCTGCTGTTATGCCTTCATATAGTTACTACATTTTTGTATTTTGTTTGTTTTCAAGGAATCCATCCTGTGATTCCTGACAAACTACTGTAGTTGTAGAGTCATGAAAGATGATACCTTTAAAGGTTTGTCTTCTATAGAAGGCTGTAAACTAAAAATGGGAACTTTGTGTATATGTGGTTGAAAGCTTCCTTTTAATGTTATATGGTCTCAGGTTTAGATGGTTGATGTGAACACGTCCTGTTAATGGCCTAACCTTTTCTACTTTAAGAATGGCCAAAACAGACCTGAAGAAGCATAAACATAATCGAACAGATAGGAACAACTTTTGTCTCTTGTATATAATTATTTTATGAAATTTTGGACACTCGTACTTTGGCGCTGTTCGCTGTGAAATGTATCGCATGCATGAAGTGCTTGTCTCTAACCATGTTTGGAAGGAAGTTTATATGAATAGGTCAGTGAAGTGAAACTTTCAAAGTATGTGGAAAAAAAAACTTTTACAGAAAATTGGGTATTGTGAAACTTTCAAAGTATGTGGCAATAAAAACACTTTTACAGAAAATTGGGTATTGTGAAACTTTCAAAGTATGTGGCAAAAAAACACTTTTACAGAAAATTGATGGTGGAACCAAATAAAAACACTTTTACAGAAGATTGATGGTGGAACCAAATAAAAACACTTTTACAGAAGATTGATGGTGGAACCAAATAAAAACACTTTTACAGAAAATTGGGTATTGTGAAATTTTCAAAGTATGTGGCAAAAAAACACTTTTACAGAAAATTGGGTATTGATGGTGGAACCAAATAAAAACACTTTTACAGAAAATTGATGGTGGAACCAAATAAAAAAACACTTTTACAGAAAATTGATGGTGGAACCAAATAAAAAAACACTTTTA